AAGGGGAAGGGATGCAGATCAAGATAAGTAAAGAACACGTCAGAGATCTTCTTACCAATTTGAATTCATTCAAATGAGCAGGGCCGGATGCTAATCACCCGAGGGTACTGAAGGAATTAGTTGAAGTCTCTGAGCCACTGGCAATAATATTTACAAACTCCTGGATAACAGGAGAGGTCCCGGAAGACTGGAGAAGGACTAACGTAGTGCCAGTCTTTAAAAAGGGGAAAAAAGACGTGCCAGGAAACTAGAGATGGGTCAGCCTGACCTCAATCCCTGGGAAACTACTAGAGCAATGTATGAAACATTCAGTTTGCAAATACCTGGAGGATGAAGGGGTGATCACTACCAGCCAGCAGGATTTACCAAGAACAAATAATGCCAAACCAGCTTATGTCCTTCTTTGACAGGGTAACTGATTTAGTGGATAGGGGGAATGCGGTGGACATAATATACCTGGACTTTAGCAAGGCTTTTGACACAGTCCCATGTGGAGAAATGCAGGTTCAACAGAACTACTATTAAGTGGATTCATAATTGGTTAAACAACCGCAAACAAAGAGTAACTATCAATGGAATGATGTCGGATTGGAGGGAGGTCTCAAGTGGGGTTCCCCAGGGATCGGTTCTGGGCCCAGTGTTGTTTAACATCTTTATTAATGACCTGGATATAGGAATAGGGAGCATCCTGATCAAATTTGCAGATGACACAAAGCTGGGGGGGAAGGATTGCCAATACACCTCTACCCCGATATAATGCTGTCCTCAGGAGCCAAGAACTCTTACCGCGTTATAGGTGAAACTGCGTTATATCGAACTTGCTTTGATCCGCCGGAGTGCGCAACCCTGCTCCCCCGGAGCACTGCTTTACTGCGTTATATCGTGTTATATCGTGTTATATCGGGTTGCGTTATATCGGGGTAAAGGTGTACTTTGGAGGATAGAGCTAAAAGTCAGAGGAATCTTGGTAAATTGGAGAACTGGGCTGTCCACAACAAAATGAAATTCAACAAAAAACAAATGTAAGGTGATACACTTAAGGAAGAAAAATCAAATGCACAAATACAGAATGGGGGAAAACTGGCTTGGCAGCAGCACTGCTGAGAAGGCTCTGGGAGTAGTGGTGGATCACAATCTCAACATGAGTCAGCAATGTGAAGCTGTTGCAAAAAAAGCAAATGCAATTTTAGATTGCGTTAACAGAGACGTAACATGCAAATCATGGGAGGTGACTGTATCGCTCTACTTGATGCTGTTTAGGCCTCAGCTGGAGTACGGTGTCCAGTTTTGGTCACCAATATATAGAAAAGATGTAAAGCAACTGGAAAGGATCCAGAGGCAAGCAACAAAGATGATCAAAGGGATGGAATGCAAGCCATATGAGCAAAGGCTGAAGGAACTGGCTATGTTTAGTTTGGAAAAGAGGAGATTAAGGGGGGACATGACAGTAATTTTCAGATACTTGAAAGGCTGCCATAAAGATGGATAGGAATTGTTCTCTTGCCACCGAGGGCAGGACAAGAGGCAATGGGTTCAAATTACAGCACAGCAGATTTAGATTCAGAGTGGTAGCCGTGTTAGTCTGAATCTGTAAAAGCAACAGAGGGTTCTGTGGCACCTTTAAGACTAACAGAAGTATTGGGAGCATAAGCTTTCGTGGGTAAGAACCTCACTTCTTCAGATGCAAGGCAAGTGAGGTTCTTACCCACGAAAGCTTA